CATAGAGTGGACTCAGATCACTTATTACTATGGTAGCTCTAGGCTACCCATAGGTGGTCAGCTCTCTAATTTGAAGGGCTAGGAGCCCGGCCCGGTTCGGCTGACAGGTGCTAATGCTTCTCCCCCGGCAAAGCACCACTATTGGGGGATGAATGCTTTTACTATGCACACTACGATTTCATATTCTCCGTACAGTATGGGAGAGACTGTCCTAGGCCACGATTCAAGCCGCAGATGTTCTGGAGCTATCGACTCAGCGGAGATTACACCCACTGCCGCGGGTCAATCCAGTACACTACTTACACTATGCTTCTAAAATCCATGCAGCCATGAGCGGAAGTACCTAGTGGAGGTCTATACATACATGGGCCACACGGACTACATGGACTACACGGACCTACAGCGGACTACAGGCTACGGACGCCATGGATTATTCTCGTACCAGTCTTCCTCTCGTCTTGGCCCATGGATCCATACATACATACACTATGTAGCAGCATAGACGGAACAGAGATTACCTGCTCCCCGTGCACGGCTGCATTCACCGGCCACACCTTAGCAGATCCCCCTGGTCGTTTTTTTTTCTAGACCTGCACCCTTATTTTGGGTGTACATTTTTTTTGCTTTGTCCTGCACTCGGTCTTGGATAATAAGCCAACCCACTTTCTCATTTCTCGATACGACATAGGAAGGGAAATTTTTTTTATTTCCAAATATTTCATTTCACTCCCTTCATTGCAAGACATGCAATGCAGAAAGTACATGATCAAGTACACATGGAAGGGATAGGATAGACGGGAATGGCAGACTGATACCATCGGCTTAGTATCAGCTGTGACTCATACGAGAGTAGACGTCATGTACGTTTATGTCCTAATGCCCTACGAGCAAAATCTCTGGCTGCAATGATGTCCAATGTCTGTAAGCTGAACGGGCCTTGTAAATTGTTTGGTCAATGGGGGCCCGGCTTAAGACCACACTTCCTGCAGCTGTGCATATCCCGATTGGGGCTGGCAGGGATGTGAAAAGCCCTTTAGAGGTCAACATCCCGTTTAAGCCACCTGGTCTATCTACATGGTATTTTATCGTGGTAAACCTTTTTTCTATCTCCGCACCCAGCAGCCAATATCATAAGCCACTTTGTTGAATAGCGTCTTTACTCCACCAACTTTTCAACAAAACAAACACAAGAGCTCGACCAGGACAAGAGACCCGACCCGGACGGCCCAGACGACCCAGACGACTTAGACGACTCTGGCACGATCACGAAGCAGATCCCCCTCATTTCTACCACTCACCGACTCTTACTGAGAAGTGGACAGCATGTCTCTGCAGGATATGTATTCGGAGTCTTTTACCCATGCCTTTACATACATGCAGCTCGCAGGTACCGCCCCGGTCCAAGTTGTCTCGGTGACGTAGACGAAGCGCACAAAATGAAATAAATATTTTTTTTAAATTTGATATTGGTGCGATGACGACCCTCTGCCCCTCTCTTTTGACCTTCTGGAAGGAGACGAAAAGGGGAGCGAGTGTATACTAATTACCAACGGCTTCGAATTGCATATTCGGTCTCCATTCCTTTCGAATTCGATACATATAATCCACAGGCGGGCCGTAATGGCTCTTAAGGGGTTAGAAAAGGTATTGTTTTGAACCTATCAGGACTATAGCGACACCACCATTAGGGCGCGCGAAGATGGTACTCCAACCATAAGTAGGGCTTTTAGCGCACGTGTTGGTATGTGATGGAGAAATGGGCGGCGGTCATTTTCCCTAACCAGAATATTTCGTGATATGAATCTTGTTGTCTATCGCTATGCGTTGTTCGATCCATACATAGTACCCCTGTCGTCGCTCACCTGGCCCCCCCTTTTCATCATTGTCTCGTAGGCCTCCGAGATTCTGATTCGACATTGTCTCACACATCGAGATTATAAGAATGCCGTTATTATCTACCAAATCGCAGAAATGCCTTTCGAGGTTGCGTAGGCTAGTACCTCTACATATCTCCCTTCACGCGCCTAGCCAATGCTATGTTTGGGAACTGGGAGCTTAACTCATCAGGCGTGCGCAGCACGAAGGGAATCATCCTACGAGGCGATACGGACAATAATACATACGAGTAGCTTAATTACTGGGACGGCGCGCCGGTCTATGTCTTTCATTTGATACCACCTCTCGCACTGCCCGGCGTCGCCTACTATCATAAGTATCGCATAGCACGGTCATACGGCAAGCAGGCCACAAATGTATGCCTTAGGCCACATCATTACCTACGATGTTCTTGTCGGGAATTCTAGATACCGCGACCCAGAAGCCTGGGTATGCCGTATGCGTTGACGTGTCACTCTTCAAACCCAGACGAATGCACAGAGCATCGCGCTTCTATCGTGGCTGTGCTGCTATATTGTCCTGTTATGTCTATCAGGTCTAGGCCCTGGCATGTGACGAGATATTAACCCTCTAAACTGGTCCTCACACCGCTCCACTTCGTTCCGGAACATTGCCCTTTTCGATCTCCGCCTCGTCCTTCGTCGGTCGTGACATACGCCCAACTATATTTCGACGCCCATCGAACCCCATTCCATCCGTTGTCTCTCTGTCTACGCTTGCGCGGAATCACCGGCACCATAGACTCATTGCCATGCTATCCGACGGCACGGGTATCTGTGTTTCCCGAAGAGGGAGGTAACCCGGAGCAAATCATAACCCACGATGGTAACGGAGATATTAGTAGTCCGCGGGCGAGAAAGCCATCATGATTAATTCTAACGCGGATAATGACAGTAAGCGCCTGGTCTACGGAATAGAAAACAATAGTCACACACCTCCGGCGGCTGTTATGATGTAGTTCTTGTAAGTCCGACGATCGCCCACTCAGAAATTCTTCACCGTCATTTTCTGCGCAATACGACGTACTGCTTATAGTTGGGACTGGCTACCGCGAGGCGCTAGCTCCTCCATATTCCCTGTCTATCAATCAAGTTTCATAAGTTTGGGCAGTGACTCACCGCATACGGACTCGATTCGCTCGACGTCGAAGTGAGCACCCGAGCTTCGGAAGCCCACCAAATCAAAGGAAAAAGTCCGAAATCCCACACAATACCGCCACTTACCCTGGTGACTCTACTCTAAATCCGTACTAAACGTAGTCCTATATTACGACAGTGATAGGGGCAATAACGCTGACGACTGTGACGACTAATATGCTGGTAACACTGAAACATTGGCTAAACCCAGCTGTGAATTTCGCCATTAGGATGCCATGGATGTATTCACGTTGGTGCGAAACAGGCAGCAGCCTCGCAATATTCCATTACGTCCCTTTCTCGCTGCGACGTAACGGGGGCGAAGGCAGACGAGCCTCAGTGTCACATTTTATATATATCGCAACGGCGACGCGTCTTCTACTACGCGCCTAACTTAAGCCTATCAAACGTCACATCTCAGTATTGCTCATACACCCCACGCCAGCGTCACACGTCAGCCTGTTGTTCGCCTCACGCCGGCTATCTAGATTCCCGCGAGGCTGCGGACCGCCGCCCAGACCCCAAATAGTTACACGATTCTAAATCCGGTTGGACAAAGCAGCCACAAGAAGTCCCCCATTCGCAAATCGAACCCCAAGATAGGCATTTTCGTGGTGAAACCACATCAGCCCGGCTTGTGCAACCAATCGACGATGACTAAATTACTATATCCTTTATGAGTCACATGAATCACTACTCCCTACGTCCACGCCCCCCAGCCTTCTCGGTATCCTGAAGTTGATGGTATCAGATGATCTATCGTGGAGGTTGACAGTGCTGACACCCTGGGCCATCTAGCTTTACACAAGTGCCGGACATCTGGAGGTGGCTGTGCATTCACTCTCTCGTCCGCACGTCCATCCAGGGCCAAGTATCTATCAATGTGAAATCCGGCGATACGAGTCCTTTGCCACTACGTATGTGTATTCATAGTTACTATGCGATCCGCCACGCGTAATTCTACTGCCTATCAGCAACCTTGGGCGCGACATAAGCCCAGTCGAGGAACGAAGGTAGGTGGGTGAGCAATAATCCCTTCACGAGGCAACCGGTTGGCGCACTGGGGGCTATTAGACGCCTTAGATCGGATGACTCTTTCGAAGATAAACAATGACCAAGTATAGGCTTTGGCGCCCTAGCAAGTATCCTGCCAAGTCCTTCACTGGACACACCGAGATAATGATAATGATGAATCATTTTTTATGAAACGCAGAAGTACACAAGTAATGTCTCCTCTATCGTGTGTATGATTCATTCCCGTGCTGTATTAATGAAGAACTTGATAGTGTTTCATGGACTGCTGGCCCTTCAACACTGGCGTGAATGCGACCTAAATAGATATTAGATGATGTGTAAGTAGCCCAGTATCGATCATGTAAAATATCCCATGCCCACACAAGTTAGGTGATCACAAAATGGTATTCTGGTTCGCAACCGTGAAGTTCGTTTCCTTAATATAAACGAGACAAAAAGGGGGTGCTTGGGTTGGCACAGGACTTAGAAAGGGGCTGTCTTAGGTAATATTCGTAACTACCTCCTATATATTTGAAAGCAATTTCTATACATATTTAATCTATTTTAAGTCGGTATAATCAACTAGACTATAGCTCTCCACCGTGTTACAGATATTCCCTGAATATTATGCCGACTTATATGTTTATATGGTTTAATTCTAACGTAAGTCTTAGTGTTGAGGAATATAGATTTGCCTATCTGCCTAGCTTGCTGTCTGATCGTATACCGCTATAAATTTCTTGCTAATTGTATTTCCCACTTGAATAGTTAATAGTAAATAATCGCCCCTTCTAGATATAAGCGTATAACTAGTTGATTATATGTGTATGTTGATACAAGACCAACATTACATATATACGGCTTCCTAAAGACCATAGTTGTCTAAGAGGTGAAGTGATCAAATTATAAATGGCCCATAACAAGATATCTAGGTAGACAACAGACCCTAACCCCTTAGGCAGCCATCTGAAGTATCTCGACGATCTTCTCTTTGTCAAGCTTCACCGGGTTGACAAGTGTACACGGATCAGTTAAGGAGTTCTCCGCTAGGAGCTCGAACTTATCGTTTCCGATACCGAACTGGCTTAGGCTCCGCGGCAATCCTAGGGCGTTGATGAACGCTGCCATCAGGTCTCCCGGGTTGGTAGAGTCTCTATCTGCCTCCATTAAACCGAGGGCCTCAACGACGGTTGGCTCGTCAAAGAACGCTGGTGCCACCATTCGGAGCGAGTCCCGGACTTTTCCGTCGCCGTGGTCCCAGTTATACTTCATCACGAACGGAAGCATAATGCAGCTTGTCTCGCCGTGCCCTACACCCATCGGACCAAGCTGGTGTCCTATACCGTGCTGTGATCTAAGTTAGTAGTTGTTCTAAGTAAGTACCTGTCTTGAAGTCCGGGGTGTGAATTGAGAGTTATAGCTCAGTTACGATATACCGAGCTTCGATGTGGACTAAATAGGGGTAAAGAAAATCCTCAATGCTACGTACGCTAGCGCCCATGCCGCAGGTTATGGCTTTAACAGCAGTCTTGAGCGCGAGCTGTGTCTGCAAACGCGCATCAAGATCATCCCACTTCTGCTTGGTCTTCAGCAAGCCCGCCAGCAGGCTCCGGAGGGCGCTGGCAAGTTCGGCGGTCAACTCCGGGCTCGCGTGAGGTAAATTGGCATATAGACCTTCGGTGCAATGGTCGACTGCTCGGACTCCGGTTGAAAGCCAGAAGCGCGCTGGCGTCGACACTGTTAGCGCGGGGTCCAACACTACAATGTCGGCTATTACGGACTCGTGGGTCAGGATCCTCTTTTCGAATGTCCGCATATTTGTTGCCGCGCCGGCCAGAGTAAATTCACCGGCAGACAGGGTCGTCGGCACATTAACGAGAGGAATAGTCGTCGGCTTAACGCCGACGGCGGTCGTGACTAGGTTAGTGAGATCCTGGATACATTTGTCGAAGATCTCGTAGGCTCTTTGCGTGTCCGATACCCCGTTCGCTGCGAAGAGGCGAGCTAGCTTGACGCCATCTGAGATTGACCCCGCCCCAAGAGTAATAATGAGATCTGGGCTCTTTGCATTCAGATCATCCGCCAGGGCTAGCACATCCTCTAAAGGAGTATGCGGAAGAATGCCGTAAAGGCCTCGGTCTTGCTAATAGACTTAGACACAACGACGTAAATGTGCGAGGCATGGAATGTCTTCTCAGCATGGTGAGCACAAGCTTTTTCAAATGCCAAGCCATAGGAAATATAAGGCTTTGGATTTGATGGAGAGGCTGCAAAATAAGATTCGCCTGGGGCTGCCATGATGATCGGAGCTGTTTCAACTCGTCAGTAGCTTGCTATAAAATTTGGGATAAAGTTTGATCGAGTAATAAATCATGTTTTGGCCTCTTAGGGGTGAATCGACTTACTATTATAGGTAAAGGCGTACGGAACCCTGTCGGTCTTGATGAATGTGCGTTACTGCTTGTCTGAATATTGTTATGTTCAGGCAGGACGTATTGAAGCTTATTTAAACGATTTAATGGCGGTCATCTTCCATGACCGAACGGAGCCGAGGCGCTTTCTCTATGCTCCAATGTTCTCAAGTCCTATGGTTCTGATGTTGATTCGACTTATTATCCCCGCTATGTCCGTCATCTGATAGCCGACTATGTAGTTCTTCGCCTCATACGTACCATACGAGTTCATGTATGTATTCTAAATTTATTCTAAATCATAAATAGCCCCTTTAAATAAGTGTCCATCAAGACTTGCCCGGGAGCTTAGTGTACACTATAAGGTTGTTTAGGTTCTAGGCATACTTCATTCAGGGGTCGCACCTATATGTGGTAATTTTATTGGTAGAGTTGAACATTTACTACAGACTAAACTAGAATATAAGCATTATTTTCACATTACATACCTACCTAGGTACCTAGGTAGATATGTGCTGTTGCGAAACACCAACCTTGACCCCTTTTGAAGGCGCTACGAAGCGAACCGGATAAGAATCGGTATGCTATTGTATCGGCTGGGCGAAAGATATATAGCTACATCTGCAAAGCAGTTGGTGTTTGATCTTTGGAAGGGGATATCGATTTTAGATATAATTACCTACCAGGTAGTTATCTTAGGATCTCGACGTTTGTAAGGGCAAGAGGGTGGGCATAGGTTACCAATTACCCAATTCAGACGTCAAACCTGGTCAAGAGCCAATCAGAGTCGGTAACTTATGCGCTCGAGGTTCCGACAGTTTAAAGGATTGCCAGACTTCACACCATTTGTGGGGTGGGCAAAAGCACCCTTTACCATCTATACACCTTTAGAGATTCGAATGATGGTAGACTTTCTACCCGTGATTCAACAACCGTAGATATGTATATGCGCCGGTACCGACTCGGCTAAATAGGGACGGACTCATCATCTGCTGCTGATAAGCGATCCAATCCATCACCTCTAGTTTAGCCATTCCCGAATTTATCGCCTAGGCCATTAACATGCCATACCAAAATGTAAGAAGTGAGTCTAGAACGCAACTGCGAAATTGCGGGATAAGAACCTACGATGACTCTATAATAGCACCCTCTACAGAGGACACCCTTAGTTTTTGGTTACAGTGTGAAGTCAACTGGCACACCACCAGCGGATATCCCCAGATATATTCCACGAGCATGCTCAAAGGATGGCTAAGTGTAAAGACCTAGAGTCAATATATATCGGGAGATCATGAGCTCTCGCGCCTACGTGCCGGATGTTATAGCTGCCTATTATCACGCCCCATTTATGCATATCTAATCCCGTGCAATTATGTCATTCATCGATTCTCTTTTTGGAAGCTCATTTTGGAGTTATGAGACGGCCCATAAGGTTGTGCTCCATCGCCCAAGCGACGTTCGTACACCGCCTGACGATATCGCGGCAACTCACTCTCCGGAACGTCAGTCTAGATTCTCGATTAGCAGCGACGAGGATCATCCTACGAGCTCAGGATCCTTCAACGCGGTTCGCTCGCCGCTATCCCTGGGGTCTCAGCAAACAGGACGTCGTGACAAACCTCTGCCACCTGTTCCGCGGGAACATAGTCTTGCAAGGCAGCAGCGAGGACATGCGAGTGTCAGATGCTCAGGGCTTCGAGCCATCGATGAGATATCCTGGCCGATGCCGCCCGGAACGAAACCTCCGCCGCGGACTCCTAGAGATTCGGGTTATATGGCTAGTAAAATGTCGAGAATACGTGTAGGCCTGTTCATCTCGACGATATGTACAGCCCAATTGTGTGCTCGTGAGTTGAATGTCTGAATAATTATCACTTATCACATGGCGCTGGTTAATACAAACTATAGAAGCAGGTATCAGCCAAACGCTAGCAATTCTCCATGAAATAAGGACTACCTTCGGCATCGTTAATACTAGCGATCTGATTTGGGATCTTGCTGGATATAGCCTGGCGATCGGTACTTTCATCTTAATAGCAGGCAGATTAGGTGACATATATGGATATAAGCGAATATTCCTCGCTGGATTTGTCTGGTCGGCTGTTTGGTCTGCTATTTCGGGGACAGCGGTATACTCAACTCACGTCTTATTCATGGTCTCTCGAGTGTTCCACGGCCTAGGCGCTGCTCTCTCGCTTCCAAATGGTCTTGCACTTCTAGGAATAGCATACCCTCCTGGAAAGCAGAAAGCCATGGTATTCACCCTCTTTGCTACTATGGCACCCGTGGGTATCGTTATTGGGGCGGCAAGCGCAAGTCTATTCGCGCTGGTTTGGTGGCCGTTGGCGTACTGGGTCTTCGCTGCTACACTTCTCATCATTGCTGGAGTAGGGTGTTTTACCATCCCTAATAAATCTACCTCAAAGAGCGAGACACCTGCTAATCTTCGCGCTGTAATGTCTGACCTCGATATACCAGGAGCAATCGCGGGAGTGTCAGCTCTCGTATTGATAAGTTTTGCGTGGAATCAGGCCCCTCTTGTCGGATGGCAAAAACCATATCTCTGGGTCGCTCTAATCGTCGGTATTCTACTTGCAATACTATTCGTGCTGATAGAAATCTATTATGCCCCTAAGCCGCTCATCCCGTTCTACGCACTTTCATCCGACGTATCTTTCATTCTAGTTTCAGGCGCCTGTGGCTGGTCATGTCTTGGAATTTGGGCATCATATACCTGGCAATTTTTCGAGAATATTCGCGAGACTCCTCCGCTTTTGGTATGTTTAGACACATCTCGCAATTGTATAACATAACTGACTCTTATGGAATTTGAGGCTACGGCATATGTAAGCCCGTGCATCGTTGTTGGTTGTTTAGCGACGGTATCAACAGGCTTTGTCCTCCAACGGTTGGGTCCGTCTATCGTCGTATTCATCTCACTCTTGGGATTCACTCTAGGGTCCGTACTTATTGCTACTATGCCAGCTGTGCAAATTTATTGGACTCAGTTGTTCTTTTCCGTACTAATTGTCTCTTGGGCAATGGATACGGGGTTTCCAGCCACAACGCTAGCTTTATCAAATGCAGTCGAAAGGAAGCATCAGGGCACTGCGGCGAGTTTAGTTAGTACCGTGATGAACTATAGTATTTCGATCGGTTTAGGTATCGCCAGAACTGTGGAGGCCTATGTAACTAGAGACGATCAGTCCATAGAAAGTAAGTTGAAAGGATACCGGGCTGCTTTATACACTGCAATCAGTCTGGCAGGGTTAGGCACACTTATCTGCTCGATTTTTCTGTTGAAAATACTCTGGCAGAAGCAAAGAAGGTGTTACAAATATCATGATGAGCTGGAAGTACGTCAAGTCTAGATTTCTCCTCTATTAACCGGCCTAGAGTAGAGAATACCGATAATATAAATGTAGAAGACGCGTCAAAGTGAATTTAGAACGCGCCAGGGGCTAGACGATAATCATAGCATGCTTTTTGATGCATGACAGCCCATCTATGCATAATGAGAATAACTCTTTAAGACGATGCTTCCGCTAAGAGGTAGGTAGGGTATCAACATGATCCAATTCCTCGTTCGCATCATCTCCCTCCGATACTGAAGCCAATTCAACACCCCCGATGATTTCCCCCAGGATACGAGATACTTCATCCCGTTTGACTCAGTCTAGGAAATAGCCGGGCATTAAAGCAATCAACTTCGCAGTAATCCTCGTTCTGATCTTCTCCGCACATGGCCGCAACATTCCCTCTTGGTGAATCCTAACAGAATGAATATGAATAGGAAGTGACTCAGTAATGCTGCTTGGTAGATGGGCTTTTCCGTCGAGACTAGCGGCTATGTTAATGACTTCCAAGAACCAAGCAATATCCACTGAAAATTCGACTTCATAGTTGGGCGCGGGGGGATAACCTCGATAAACCATATTGATTCTTTGCTCGCCATTATTGTATTCATTGAATATACGGACGAATCCTATTATATGCGTTATGTATGCTTTCATTTGCTCTCTTGGGGGTGGGTTTAGTCTACCTCCGGTTGCAAGGGCATCGCGACATATGGTGAACATTTTAAGGTGAAATAATTGGAACGTGGTAGGGCGAATGCAATGGATATTGTTAGCCAACCAAAAAATATCAGGTTCAGTATCCTCTTCTTTCATGATCAAATGCGGATCCGAGTCATGTACGAGTAGCCATTTGACGCAGTTCATTTGACGTTCAAGAATCGCGAGCCAGATTTTCCAAGCCCTCTCAATCCATTCCACAATCTGGACCCAACTTATGCTCGAATCCTGTTCACTCGTGTTGTGTTTGAGCTTGGATATATCTAGGTCCACACCAACTCCTATACGCCGATAACATTCGAAAAGAATCACACCCCTTTCTTCTTTGGAAAGGCTCTCGAACTTTCTGTCCTTCTGATGGATTTCGTCAAGGATTTCCACGTTGCCTAACTTAGAGTTGACCCGTAGGACGGTTAGAAGGAACATATGATTCATATACGGCGGCGGCATCCATTCCCGATACCCCTTCTGTCCTTCACGGCCCGACGATTCTAAAAGATTATAGATCCGTAATAGTTTTGTAGACATAGCAAGTCTACTTTCATTATTTTCCGGAGCCTGAGCAGCAAGGACATATGCCGCTCCTCCGGCGGCTCTAGGATATGCAAGATGCCTTGTCATGGTTGGTCTATCGTCATAACTCATAATATCCTGGCCGTATTTCGTTTCCATAAGAAATTCGCAAACTGATCGATGAATGAAAGTAACTTGGTTATCAAAGCTAGAATAGATATCGATACCATTTATCAAAAGTTTCGTGTGTCTCATTTGACCGGATATCTCGAGGAGGCCGGCGCTTCTTGCGCAGAGCCATGTTTCAAATTCTTTGCCCATGTGCTTCGCGTCTTCGAAGCTCCAGAAACCATTGTTGACTATGAGCTGCTGCAATTGGCTCCGGAGAGCCTGGTGGTTAGCTAATAGAAAAACCAAGAGAGGTGACTCGGGGGGCCGCTGTTCCAAAACGGACCGAAATAGTATCGCAGCTTCTCGTTTATGAGTTGGTAGGTCTTGGTTCTGCCTGATCCACATTTGCTCGTATAATTCGCCAAGGTTGGGGGGGTACATTTCTATTCGTTGCTTCAACAATTCCCAAGAGTCTCCGTGCTTCTCTATCCCTTTAATAAGATCCTTGAGTGCCATAGCTGCCCATAGGAATACCCCTTCCGACTTTCTTACGATGTTCGCCAGAAGGCCATGGTCGTCCGATTCAGACACTTCACAAGCACCTTCATACTTTCCTAAGGCGTTTTCGACGTACAAACGTATGGCCTGTTCAGTGAGATCCTGAACTCGAAGATATGGGTGCTGTCCTAGATTCTGCACGAACAATCTCTCTGGGCGACTTGTCACACAGGTTTTGACGTTTGGGATACTCTTAAAAAGTTCCACTAACTCAATAACCTGTACTCTCTCGTCGTCTTGTATTTCATCGAGCCCGTCAATAAACAGGCAAGATGTATAGGTTATGTCACGGAGACATATCGACAAGGCATCAAGAAGTTCTTGATGAGGCCAGTCGTGTTCCGACGCTTTTTCCTTTACCTCTGGCTGGCCTTCAAGCAACAGGGTCAAGGTATCGGGATTTTCGGTAATAACCTGGTGTAGGAGAGTGCGCAAACAACCTCGAAGCTGTTTTTGCAGAGGGCTTTGTCCTAGCGCGTAGAAATAGAAACGAAATATCCTTACCGAGGGATCCCAAGTACGAAGGTATTCAATCGTTCGACTACTGCGTATTAGATACTTTGTCAGTGTGCTTTTGCCACTTCCTGGCTTGCCGCTAATCCAAAATATCGGCGTGTCTGATCTGTCTGATCGGAGCCAATCCGCAAAATCGGAATCTGGGAATATCCTGAGTGCGATATCATCAGAAGCCTCTTTAATGGTGCTCTCTCGTTGATTCATCTCAGGGAACCATAACGTGGAAAGAATCCGCTTCCGCAACTCCTCGAGATTGCGCTGGGTCGAATCAGACAGCAACCTGGAATCTATCGCATCTATTCTACTGCGTATATTCTCCGACTCTGCTGTGACGTGGACCCTAGTTTTCTGTGCCTCGCTAACGAGTAGTTTCGATATGGTCCTTTCCCCATTAGACCAGCGGTCAATAAACTGCTTTATGTCGCCGTAAAGATTTGAGTACATATCTTCTGATAGACAATGGCTTGCCTGCGTTGACGAACTAGATGAATTATTAATATAGTATGTGCCTAAGTTATGAGAGCAATTATTTAATATCTACCATATTCTGCTCAGGAGTTCCGAGTCCATGACGCTCCGTGTGCCGTTGATTTTCCTTTCCAGTGAGGAAATCTGGGAATTATAGCGGAACTTGAACTTCATAACCGCTCTTAAACTACCAAGCTTTCCTGCTGAAGCCGTTGTTGTAACCTTCTCAAGCAGTTTTTGTAGCTCCTTAGTGTCTCGAATTAGGTCAGACGTTAGGCTCTGGAGCCTTGTTTTTGCTTGTCGCTCTAACCCTTCTGATTCATCTCTAGTATTGGAATAAATGGGATTGTAGTCCTTAAGTCTTTCTTGCAAAGTTTCTAGGAGCGCTGATAGATGCGCAGTGTTAGATGCAAGGCTCGAGTCCGGCGAGTGATCTCTCACGGTATTATGGTAGAGCCTGAAAACTTCTCCAGAAAAAGAGATTACCTGCATCATATTGCAAACGAGACTTAACGTCGCGATCGCTTCTGCCATGTTGACCTATATTGGCGACACCGTAAAATTGCAATGACAGAGTAGTATGCATGGATGAGGTTAACAAGGCTCTAAGTGATGGAGGTGCCTAATGTGATTAAGCAACTTCTCATAGCTACCTCCTGACATAATCAGCTCGCTATTGGGTGCCATTTCGTATCTGCGTTGTGATACTACGCGCGGATGATTAGTGAATCTGCTTGTAGTTGAAATCGGTTACTATTAAACTCATGTCGAACTAATTATTGCTACCAGGTACCTAGGTACCTAGTAAGTTAATTAAGGTTTTATTATTCGCTTACCTCTCGTCCATACATTAGGTACCTTATGATCGTCATGAGTTTGGCATATGCGAAGTTATGAATAAAGTATATGTACTTCGTACATCCCAGGTTAGGAGGTATGTACCTTGGTATCTACATGTAATGTTGCCAAATTCTTGCCCCACAGCCACAGGAGAGACCTAGCTTGGTCTAATGGAATGACGTGTATGTTGCCCCTCGTTCTTCCGTTAGCGCCTTTATGCGGGAAAGGCATGGAAATATCTAATACTGATACAAGCTTGTGACACATCCACGGCAAAGGCTAGAACATATCAGGTGTTGATTTAAATGATCGATTGAGAAGTCGCACGCGGTCAAACGTTTTAACTCAGGCCTCCAACTTTGTCACATTCAATATTTCCAAATTACATTTCCAAATTACATCTTCATTCTTCCTAAGCAACCTACCTAGCATATATATCTACATTCGACTCTATAATTTCTTCGTAGTCGCATACTATATTACCCCTCAATCTATTATTCCATCATCATGGCTTCTAACCGCACTGTTCTGGTGAAGAATATTAGCGCAGACGCGACCGACAACGAAGTTAAGGACTTCTTCAGCTTCTGGTAGGGTCATCAATGATTATTTCATGTCACTACTACCTATCTACTAACTCTCATTAAATAGTGGCAAGATCACTGATATTAAGGTCACGCCGGGCGAGGGCAATACGAAAGATGCTAGCGTCACCTTCGAGAAGGAGACTGCCGCTAAGACTGCGCAGCTCCTAAACAATACTCAACTCAAAGGATCGCAGATTTCTGTAACTCCCGCTGATGGTCAAGTCGATGATGGCACCCCTCATACCACTAATGCCGACCGAGATACCGATGAGATTACGCAGGAAGAGAAGCCAAGAAGTCGTATCTTGGCTGAGTACCTTGCTCATGGTTATGTCATCGGCGATGCTGCTCTCCAGCGTGCGATCGAGCTTGACCACAAGCACGGCGTTACCAACCGTTTCATGAACACCTTAATGAACCTCGACCAGAAGTACCACGCTACCGAACGTGCCAAGGCAACTGATCAATCGTACGGTATCACGAACCGGGCCAATAGTCTCTTTAGTGGCCTCAGCTCGTACTTCGAGAAAGCGACAAGCTCCCCTACTGGCAAGAAGCTGGTTAAGTTCTACACCGAAGGCCAGCGTCAAGTGCAAGACATCCATGCCGAGGCGCGCCGTCTAGCTAATCTCAAAAAGCAAGAGCATGGCGGCTCTGCATACAAAGCTTCAGGGCTTGAGAGGGTTTTCGGCAAGGAGAAGGAACAGACAACACAGCCAACTTCTTCCGAAAATGCCAGTGCGCCGGCGGACCAATGTGAGTACCTTGATTAATGCGTACGAATAGTTGCGTCGAACCTGCGGCTAACAAATTACGTTTAGCTTCAGTCCCTGCACCCGGCCCGAAGGCTGGCACGGAGGAGTCTACCCCTCTGAGCACGACGGGAGCTATTCCCTCCAAGGCGCCTGGAGATGAGAAGGCATAAAGAGACAGGATGTGAGCAATCTGATGCCGTTACGAATTACTATGACTCGGATATTGGGTTGAGTGTAGCTTTCCTTATATTAGTCGGGTATGGCAGTTTGATTGTTTTGTCTACACTGCATTCCCATAATTAAACAGGTCTTCCCATTTTTACGTGGTTTATGAAGCCTTATCTGTGATTTGTCAATTGACCAGATTTTCTGCCTCTTTTGGCTGGAGCTGGTATAACTGGCGTAATGTATTTAATGCTATCTGCTACAACTTGAATTATAGTCGCATATGGATGAATTATGATTATAATGAGAATATGCGGGCATGAGTAGACAATTCAGCAGTGTTATAGGTGAATTGTTTCCATTCAACCGGATAATATCATGGCGTATGTGTTAAACTATGCCGTACATGTTTGTAATACAATGTCCCTTCTCTATAGAATAACGTGTTGCTTGCTATACACTCCCAAATATCCCTCAAACCAAATCCAACTCCTTTATGATGGCTTTGTAGTTTTGCTAAATTTCTCCGTGACTGCGTCCTCGAGGGGTCCCTTGGGGTTTGAGGTTAGGTTCTGCATGACCATTCTATGTTAGCCTGATGCTAGGAGTACAATGATTAGAAGCTATTTACTTACGCTTAGTTGGTCCTGCATGGATTCCTTCTTGTTAGGGGCTTCATCTATGCCTTGTCCCGAAGCGGGTGTCTCCTTTAACTGTCGGCCACTCTGGGTCTCAGGGGGAGGAGACTGGCGGCCTTCGTTTGGTGCAGAGGACATTGTGTATGATGTTGAGGTTTAAGTTTACTTTAGTGAATCTAATTAGAAGTTTCTTGATTGAGCTTTATCAAGGGGTTGGCAACTTAGTTCCGTACAATTTATAGCGGTCTGTGTAGTTGATAGATTATGAGTTGATAAATCTTTAAGGTTTAGAAGATAGAAAAACTAGACAACGTCGAAGGAGTTAAATACAGCTCGGAACGTCTTAGACATGCGTAAGATCGAGGATTACATAAATACGCGTCTATGAGGTTTCTAAGACGGACAGGCATTTAAACGCAGGCTGACATCAGAGTAACTGTCAATGCCGTCATGTCCCTATATTCAACTGTCGAGCAAAGCGAGCTATCTACGTCATCATTCTTTCTTATCGATAATCAATGATGAAGTGAAGCTTAGGTGGGGGTCTCTTCCGGAGCTTCTAAGCCTGAAAAGGGTTAAGTGTAGGCATGTATCTAGGTACCCAATGTACTTAGGTACAGGTAATGTTCATGCACTTAGATGCATGTGATGGGTCTAGCTGGACTTCACTTCATGTATCTTAGCAGCTTAGGCAGCTCAAGCCACGACCCATAATAAAGTTTCCTATCAATAAGGCTGAAGGACCCCGCAGAAGCTTGAAAGTTACAGGCGCAGACCACTAAACGCGACCGACTTCAACGTAAACAGCACATTCCCAATATTCCCAATAACTTTTGCCCAAACAAACACTAGTACATACATTTTATCGTGTCATCACAGAAATCTAATAGAACGATGTGACCATTCTTGACGGAACCAAATAGGGACCAAATCCACCGTTAGCTCTTGTGTTGATATTCGGAGTATTCTAACCTAGTAGCTAAACCCTTCTATGCAAGTGCCTGAGACATCAAACAGCTCAAGGACATCAAATTACTTGGTATTATAGCTTGGTCAACATGCCCGACCTTAATTCAGTCCCACCTTCTCCCCACGTCCTTGCGGCTTCTCGAAATTCCTCTTCCAATCATAATGGGCAATCACATACCTCGACACCTCCAGCTCCCGTGTCCCCTTCTCTAAACATCCTACCTTCGAATCAACAGACTGTCAACCGAACATCCTCGATTTCTCTTTCGTCACCACCACTGCCAGGAACTCATACCATGTCTGCCCCGCATTCTGCTCCCGGACGAGACGATACTGGCGTCGGTGCTGGTCCAGGTCCTTTGCGACATCCGCGACCCTTGACGGCTGCAGAGCTGCATTCGCAACTGGAACAGGAGCAAGAACTCTTGGTATGATCTTCCCTCGTAACCTTTTTGACGACGCCATAGCAAGCATTCTAACTTAGATGGCGTAGGTGAACCGCTTGAGCCGCGATTTGGTCATGTTGCGAGCTGCACAGAACTCGTCTGTAGCCTCTAATGCTTCGTCTACGAGCGCATCGACCTCTGCCGATCAGACCCACCCCTCCTCCTTCACCGATACTCACCTCCTATCCGGTCCGGGATTCCCTCTCCCAACGACGAGCGCAGACCGTCGACATCATCGGACCAGCTCAAGTGCTAGTACACGCAGCCTGAATCAGTCTGCTACTACCCAAGGCTCGATGCCTGCCCCGATACCAATTCCGCAACCCCACTCCGGGAGTGCTGCTTCGGTCTTAGAAGCGGCACGAAATCCTCGCGCGGCACCGGGAATGAGTCGACAGAACAGCACCGCTTCTCAGAGAAGCCAAAGCCGAAACCATTCACCCCATCCGTATCTTGCTAGCACTAGTCTGGGTTCTTCATACAACCAGTCACATGGCGTCCCATATGATTACGGATCCGGTTATTTCCCTCGGGGCTACACGTCTTCTAACACGAGCGTGGCAGCTACTCCCGGCTCGGAGCTCTCGCCGGGACTTTTACCGGCTACTCTGCGCTACGAGGAGACAGCCCATTACCGACAAGAGTTAGAGTCAGCTAAACGTGAGAATGAGAATCTCAAAAGGCGGATTAAGGAGTTAGAACGTTCTCTACGGGATCGCCGACAGAGCGACGCCAGTCGGGTTACCGGTGGAAGGGACCGAAGCGAGAGCGCCAGCACTACAGCCAGCGTCAGCGTCAGCGGCGCGACCGGAATTGGAGGTGTCATCGGAGGTGGCACCACCATAGCCGGAGACCGGCGAGGAGAGCGTAGAGTTATCGAGCGGGGCATGAGTAATTTGAGCATTTCCGGGAGCATCGGAGCTGGTGTCCTTGAAGATGAGGTTCTGGTAGGCGAGAGCGCTGCAAGCGGTGGTTTACCAGTGGCAGGAGAACAGACTCGAGACGCAAAGTAGGATGTTTGTTTAAACATGAGTCCCTAGGTGGATAGATTACAATTTGTGCAGTCTTGCCGAAAAGAATTATGATTAATAGGGTTTAGGTATGTTATAAGGATAGCCGGTGGGCTAGCTGATGTGTGAATGACTGAATGAAGTCCAATTTGTTATTGTCTTGATCTTTTCTCCTGTTGATTTAGACATTTGCACAGGCTCTGCCCGAGAGCCTTGCTGGCCAGGCTAGCTGCATTTACTGTAGTATGCTGAAAGGTGTCTAAGACATGCTAGGAATTGCAAGGTAAATTTGACTTGTAGCTTCGCATAACGCACTTTTATTCAACATGTTTAATTGCGACCCTTTATCTGGTCTACTTAGGTCCATATGGTTTGTTCGTTTATAGAGCATTTTAATCTAGGGTAAGCAAGTACCTAAAGTATGCGTTGAAAGTCCGTATGGTCTTCACTGACGTTTACATTATAGTATAAAGGCCTTTGTATGATTAGGAATGCCTTGCTATTTCCTGTAAAACTTGATAGCGAAGTTACTCCTATTCCGTGTCTATGATAAACCTGCTGCAACTATATAATTAAATTTCGCAACTCGGGTCGTCAACTTATATGTAATGAGCTGTAAGCGAGATATTGCATGTCTAGTATCTAATGTAAGAGAGTCGAACTTAAACTTAACAGCTGAAGAATATATTGAGGCAAATACCCCGGATTGTCCGCCTATTGTGAGACTGGGGCTCCTCCCCTTTATTATTTAGCTTCGATGGCGCAATCGGACTAACAAGTTTCGTCTGCACATTTCACCGAGACTATGCCGCACAAAAGGGAATTCTTTAGGTAGACATGGTTAGATGCGGCTCCCGGAACCATCACTATTCCAACTCTATTTGCTTACTCCTACAGTATAAGCCTTATAGAAAAGATATGAGATTCAACAATAGACTTTTATGTATTTTCTATCTGTTACTCTTAACTTAAACACTAATGTCTACTCTCAATTAAACAAAAAAAAAACTCTTCCATAACAGAACTAAACTAATTCATAATTCCCGTTAAAATGCTCACTAACGATATTCCGCGGGCCTAGGCGGCGATTTGCCCTAGTCAGTCTACCGGCGTCATGTCAGATTGTCACCGTGTCGCGCTATCAACGAAAAAGTAGGGATCCAGACAATCACGCAATAGGCTCCACCCGAAAATTTCGAGCTGATGTCCCCTTGGGTCCTGGTCTTATTATTATCGCGACGACTATGCGTATATATATACTGCGTGCTCTCGTGCGTCTTGCGACCATGGTGTTGCTTTGGAACAAGATTTCGAATCTAGCAATTTGATTTGCCGCTCTCTTCGGTAGCAGAAATTGCTTCCCTCCTAAGTTATATTGACGACTGATTTACTTATTCCTCAGCACTTACGCCGAGGATCGTCAAGGAAAGAGAGAAATGGCGTCTTCGACTTCGGATTACGCCGAACACTCGGATGATGGTGCTGTTACGTCTGCGGCTTCTAAGCCGCTGAAGCATTCCTTCTTCCGGTCTGTACCCTTTCAGATTGCCGTCGCGTGCGGTGTCTCTTTTACCGCGCCGGGTATGTGGGATGCCCTCGGCGGTTTAGGGGCCGGCGGCGCAGCTGAACCGTATGCTGTATCAGCGGCTAATGCTCTTGTTTATGGTCTCTTCTCTATCGTCTGTGTAGCCGCAGGAGCCATCAACAATCGCATCGGTCTACCGTATGGTCTTGCTCTCGGCGCTATTGGTTATCCGCTCTACGGCGCCGGTCTCTACACCAACAACGTGAACGCCACCACCTGGTTTATGCTCTTCGGCAGCGCCCTCTGCGGTATCTCGGCCGGTTTTTTCTGGGCTGCCGAGGCCGCCATCATCATCGGGTACCCGAGTCCCAAGGACCGTGCTTTTTACCTTGCTATCTGGCAGAGTGCTAAGGCTGCCGGTCCTATTGTTGGCGGCGCTATTAACCTTGGTCTCAACGCGCAGCGCTCTTCAGCTGGCTCCGTCGGTTCCGCTACATACATCGTCTTCATCGCTATTATGTGCCTGGGCTTACCTATTGCCCTCTGCCTTAGCCCCGCGAGTAAGGTATGGCGCCAGGATGGCACCCGCGTCGTCGTACACAAGGAGGCAACCTGGGGTGCCGAATTCCGGGCTGTGGGCAAATTACTAATATCGCGACGTGTATTGCTATTGCTACCAGCTTTCTTCATCAGCTATTTCTACAACGGCTTCGTTAGCACGTGGCTAACTAAATACTTTACTGTCCGCTCGCGTGCCTTTTCCTCCTTCTTCACCAACTTCGCCGGTATTTTTAGCTCCTTTATCGTTGCCGCTCTGCTCGACCGCCAAAACATCCATATCCGAACGCGTGCCCGCATTGCTTTTACTGCCATTATTACCATCCTTATTGGTACCTGGATCTGGGCAACGATCTTACAAAAGCGGTTCTACGACGCGCCGGTTTCTCCTGTGTTTGACTGGTTTAAAGGTGGCTTCGGCTCCGCGTACGCGCTCGTTTTCTTTTGGACCTTCGGCGGACAGGCCTTCCAACAATTCCTCTACTGGCTTGTCGGCCAGTATGCGACAGACTTATCGTCGCTTTCGCATCACACGGGTATCCTACGAGGTGTTGAGGCTCTTGGACAGACGGTTGCTTGGGCGTATGTTATATCTTTCCCCCCTTAACTGCCTAGGTATTCAATTGCTAACTATCTTGTTCACAGTATGCAATCCGAAGGAAACGCCAATCACTTCGCCAGCATCGGTCTCAACTTCGGTCTCACCCTCCTATGCGTCCCGTTCACCTGGATCGTACTCTCGGAGCTCGACCACAGCCACGAGGTCAGAGTAACCGAGGATCAAATTATCGTTAACGACCCGGATAAGAAGCAAGATGGTGCTTCTGTCTCGGTTTAATTGCCTGGTTTTTAATATTGTGGTATAAACGGATGAAAGTAATTGGGGATTCGAATTTAATGGACTATGCGAAGTATCTCATAGAAGAGCGAACGCACCAGCAAACGAGGAGATTAGGAGCTTTGGATGATACCCTAGTTGATAGACAAATAGAGAGATCTTTTT